TCTCAATGCGCACAGTGGGGAGTACACCTGGGCATCGAAAAACACTACAACGCGTGGAAAATCTTCGACATCAACAGTAAAGAAACAGTCGCAGCACGTGATGTCCTTTTCTACGAGAACCTCACCCTCGACGTTCACCTCGCCTACGTAAGAGCAAACAGACCTGATCCCTCGGGCGGATTCACTGGAACCCGAGCCTTCGCCTCGGCAGAAGACGAAGCTGACTGGGACGAGCAGAACGTGGACGGAGCCTCGGAAGAAGCCGGACCACTACCGTACTGCTGGGTGGACGTACCAATGGACGACGACAACCCTCGCGAAAGCATCAACGCCGAAGTCTTCTACAAGTTCGCCGACGATAGTTACGTTACACCCGAACAAGTCAACACCAACGAAGCAGAACGTGTAGGGCCCAATTTCGCACCTGATCCAGAAGCTGGAGACGAAGCAGTCTATCCCGAGGACACCACACTCCCCCGCTACACACAGAGTGGACTTCAGATACTCGGGCTCGTCACCGCGGTCCACGGCGCCACCATTCCTAAGGAGCCTGCAACGGTTCAGCAGGCTCTGGGGGGGGAGCATAAGGAAAAATGGCGCGAAGCCATGGACAAGGAACTGAAGGCATTAGAGGAGCGCAACACGTGGAAAGTCGTTCCCATCGGCGTAGCACGGAACAAGACGATTCTCACCGGGAAATGGGTCTTCCGCGTAAAGACGAAAGCTGACGGCACCATCGACAAGTTCAAAGCACGATGGGTCGTGCGCGGCTTCGACCAGGAACACAGGCGCGACTTCACCGAAACCTTCGCACCTGTGAGCCGACACACTTGTCTCGCTCCAAATTTTACTCGCGATTGCCACCATGAAGAAGAAGAAGCTACGACAGATCGATGTCGCCAACGCCTTCCTCTACGCACCTGTAGATGCTGAAATCTTCGTCGAACAGCCACATGGTACTAACACGGACCCCAATCAAGTCTGTCAGCTGCTGAAATCGCTCTACGGTATCAAGCAAGCTCCGCGGCTGTGGCAACAGTACCTGCACGCTCGCCTCATCCGCATCGGCTTCAAGCAACTCCCGCACGACCAAGGCATGTACCGGCTCACGAAGAACGACGACTACATCCTGCTAATCGTCTACGTGGACGATCTCCTCTACATCGGCTCTACTAACGGCATCACCACCTGGTTCGAAGGGGAGCTGCAGAAGGACCTCACCCTCACTGTCTCATCTACCGTCACACAGTACCTCGGCCTCAACATCCGAGAAGAAGAGGACGCAATCTACCTCAGCGCCGAGAAGTACGCCGACACCATCGCCAAGCGCTTCGCTCTCACACCGACCGCGATCTCCACGCCATACCGCTACACGACAGGAACCGACAAGGGAGGATCCGCCCTACTCAAACCCGCCGGCATACGTGACTACCAAAGGAAGCTCGGATGCCTCCTCTTCGCAGCCGTCACCTGCCGTCCTGACCTTTCATACTCCGCAAGCCAACTCGCCACCTACCTCAAGAAGCCTGAAGCAGAGCATCTGGCAGAGCTCGACCGCGCTCTTCACTACCTCGTTAGTACCCCGACGATCGGCCTGGCTTACTACAAAAACGCAACTACACCGACAAAATTAATCGGCTACGTCGATGCAGATCACGCCGGCGACTCTGACAACAGGCGCTCACGCACCGGCTACGTCTACCGCCTCGAACCTATCGGACCTATCTCCTGGCAGTCAAGCAAGCAGGAGTTAATCGCACTATCATCAGCTGAAGCAGAATACATCGCACTCTGCTCAGCCACCAAGGAGGGACTTTATCTTCGCGAGCTACTGGAAGAAGCGAAGTTAGCCGAGTTACCCAACTTCACCCTGTTCTGCGACAACCAGTCAGCAATTCGCATCGCCAACAAGAACGGCTTCGCGAACAGGACGAAACACATCGCCCTACGCTACTTCTTCGTGAAGGACGAGATCGAGAAAGGAAGACTCGAGCTGTCATACTGCCCCACATCCGAGATGGCAGCTGATTACTTGACCAAGAAGCTCGGAAAGCAGAAGTTCGAGTACTGCATGCTGCTGACTGGACAGAGCCACGTCACCAGCAGTGCCTCCAGAAGCGAAGGGGAGTGTTGGAAACAGTAAATCTTAAGCGCCTCTGTCGTGTCGAAACATCGCACCAGAAGTGAAGCAAACCTTATCGAAGCACCCGCGAGTCAACCCTCGGAGGTTGAGAGGTTGCTGGAGGTTACGCGAAAGTCAAAGGTCAAGCGACCTTTTGTGGTGAGTGCGGTGCAGTCGCGAAAGAAGGAGCGGGAAGCTCCTGAGTCAAGGGTGAAGGTGTGCGAGACCGTAGTGGGCGCAGTACCAGAGAGAGCAGACACAGCAGCACCTGAAGCCACGGCCTCACCAGTACCTAGAGCAGTAGACGTACTAGCACCGAGAGCAGCAGCCTCACCAGCACCTAGAGCAGGAGACGCACTAGCACCTAGGGCAGCAGCCTCACCAGGGTCAGGCGGTACGCACAGGCAACAGGCACGGTCAGCACTAGTAGACAATGCATACATGGCAGTGAGAATAGCATCATAGTCAAGCGCAAAGATATCTACCCTCTGTCTATGCAGCTCCAGCCAGGTGGGGAGCTCAGCCTCGTCGCCAAACACTGTGCGCCAGTCGTCGCTCAGACGGGCGAAGCAGCGGGACTGTGTGTGACCAAGCGTCCCACAAGGCTGACCAGTCCTAGCACCTGTGCGAATGACGTACGGGCAGCGGACTGTACGCGTAGACCTGCTACACTGAGCGTACCACTCCTGGAGCTGCCGGGGCGTAAGTGTCTCACGTGGACGTCCCTGCAGCTGCAGCTGGCCACTGCCAGACGCTCCCAACTGACCAGCTCCAGGGCGACAGCTACGACGGCTACCGCGACAACCCCAGCTAGTATACCACTCACTAAGCTGCTGGGGCGTCAGAGGCTCGCGTGAATGTCGCTGGAGCTGCATCTGGCCACCTGCCAGTAGCAGTAGCGCAGGCAAGGCAGGCGCGGCAGGCAGGCAAGCAAGCAGGCAGGCAGGCAGGCAGGCAGGCCGGCAGGCAGGCAGGCAGGCAGGCAGGCAGGCAGGCAGGCAGGCAGACAGGCAGGCAGGTAGGCAGGCAGGCAGGCAGGCAAGTAGACACGCAGGCCGGCAGGCAGGCAGGCAGGCAGGCCGGCAGGCAGGCAGGCAGCCAGGCCGGCAGGCAGGCAGGCAGACAGGCAGGCCGTCAGGCAGGCAGGCAGGCGCTCACCAAAGGCTAGGAGAGCAGGGCCGGCGCTCGAGTATGCGCACGACAGCGGCGACGTCGGGGCCGCAAAACCGGCTGCAGAGCAGGGCCGAAACAGCTGTAGAGCGGGGCTGCGTCAGCGGCAGTAGCAGGGTGGGGCCGCGTCAGCGGCAGGTCGGGGCCGTGGCAGCTGCAGGGCGGGGCCGCATCAGCGGCAGGTCGGGGCCATGGCAAAGGGCCGCGCGCGGCCGCGCTAGGGAGTAGCGGGCCGCGCGCGGCTCGGCGCGGGCTGTTGCGGGCCGCGCGCGGGCCGTGCGAGGCAGGAGCAGGCCTCGCGCGGCTCGGCACGAGCTGCTGCGGGCCGCGCGCGGGCCTCGCGAGGCCGTAGCAGGCCGCGCGCGGGCCTCGCGAGGCCGTAGCAGGCCGCGCGCGGCTCGACGCGGGCTGCGCGGGCTCGGCGCGGGCTGCGCGCGGCAGCTGCGAGCTGCGCGCGGCTCGGTGCGGGCTGCGCGCGGTTGCAGCGGGCTGTGCGCGGCTCGGTGCAGGCTGCGCGCGGCTGCAGCGGGCTGCGCGCGGCTCGGTGCGGGCTGCGCGTGGCTGCAGCGGGCTGCGCGCGACTCGGTGCGGGCTGCGCGGTCTCGGTGCGGGCAGCGCGCGGTAGCAGCGTGTGTGCGGGTCTTACGGGCCTGACAGGCGTGTAGAGGCGGCGCGCGGGCCTTACGGGCCTCTAGGGGCAGCGCGCAGGCAAGGCAAGGCAAGGCAAGGCTACGTGGGGTAGCGCGGTAACCGCAGCGGTAGGTGGGCCCGAAAAAAAAACGGTCCTACGGACCTTAGTGCTCTGAAACCATGTTAGAATCTAGCAGCAGGAATGGATGAACTAACAGGATGCAGGAGTACAAGTAGTAAACCCTACTAGGTTGTACCCCATATGGGCTACCCCACTACAGCCTAGACAATATGCAGCACATATAGTTTGACACCTTTGACCTGACAAGTGCAGCGCGACAGTTAAGGACACACAACTGACTCGTTACAGAGCAGTTGCCCGAGTCGTACTGTATCAAACCGCAACAGCAACAGTAAAGTGGTTACAACCGTATCTTTTCGTATTCCTTGTACTATTATATATTCTTGTATCTCTTTGCTATAATCAATCTACTTTGCCCTCACATACCAGCGCAAGGTGGTTCACAAAACTCCTCATTAAACGCTTCCGCTACTACAAAGTTCCTACCCAGAGTTTTACCCCTGCAAAGATCCTAAGGGCTTATCTCAGCCCAACACCAAATTGCAGGTGCGCTGCTTTTCAAAGTTTGAACACTCAGCTTCGTCAAGTTTTAAAAACTTGACCCGCGCGGTCCGCAATTTGGGACACGGGCTTTAAAAAGAGCCTATGGCCATGGGGTTTACGATAAGTTGTGCAAGGGTTGAGCAGAAATGGTGGGACATGGTAAAACGGACCAGAGGGAGCAACTCCTGTTCCTACGTGATGGGGTGCTTTATAAGAAATATACTTTCCACATGGCTCAATAAGCATCTCAATGGCTGTGTAGGTTGGGTATACTTCCAGATTTTGGGGATCGCATTGCAAACATCGATAGCAGACGAAATTTGTCCGATTCTCATCTGAGGGAAGAGATATACAAGCGGGCAAATGCATGAGCGAACACTAATTGCAGTGCCGAACGGGTTATCATACAGCATACGATACTCGGTAAACATTTGTCACACATGTATTTTTCAACTAGCGTATGTAGTTTCCGTAACGCACTGAGGCTTGCTGATTGTGAGCTTGTGAAAGTTGGACCGCTTGTTCCTGCACACCACAGTAACACACACTATATTGTTAGCGATTTCGAAAACCCCATATAAACAGAACGTATAATTAAATTGCTGCTGATATTGCCCAACGAATAATCCTCACCTCCAGCTCCCTTATAAACTCCACTGCCGCGTCTAACAGCGAAGCCATGTCCGTTCGAGATGACATCGTCAACGCGTGCTTCTGGTGCATCCACGAGGGAGGAATGGCCTTTTCCAGCCGCTTGAGTCCAGCACTGCAGAATACGGTATGAGGTATGAGAGATATGGTATGATGAGAGGCAGCAGCGCATGTAGCACAACAACCATGTTAATATTTCACGAGCCGTTGGGTGTTTGACAAACAGTTCTGTGCAAAGGTGCAATTACCTGATCCGGTGCCTTCTATGCTTCTCCGTGGCGCTTCGTCTCTGAATAGGCGGCCGCAACAAACCCCGCACTTTGACACCCGCTTGATCCCTCCTGTTCGGGTGTGCAGAATGTGCAGAATGCACATGGTGTGAAGCAGAACCTCGCTCCAAGCCCGGAACATTGTCACCCGCTTGGTCCCTCCCGTTTACCACTGGATGGATTTGAGGATGGGTTGTAGCAGGCGCTGGGGTACTAGCAGCTGTTTCCATCAGCGGCTTAGTGAAACCATGCCCTGCCAGCAACGGCTGAGCAGCAGCAGGAGCAGGAGGAGGAGGAGCAGGAGGGGCGTTCACCACTGGAAGGATCGGAGGGTGGGTTGTAACAGGTGCTGAAGTAGCAGCTGCCACCATCAGCGGCTTAAAACCCTGCCCTATCGGCGACTGCTGAGTCAGCATGCTGACGTGTCCTCCTCCTGATGACATGCTGAAATCTGTGACTGAGCCGACATGATGCAACAGTTCGGACTCAGGGATTGACGGCATCCCATCCGTTGAGCGAGCTTGAGGGCCCTCCTTATTCCCATCCACTGGAACCGCTCCATTGGGGACCAAATCACTGATGGCTGACTCCTCCGGTTTGCCAGTCGCTGTGCAGGGAATTACCGGGAGGGAATACTTGGAAATCACGGTTTGTCCATGCGTCCACGTGGTCAGTGGCACAGGAGCACAATTGCTGCTCTCACTTAGCAGGTCCCACGCAGTTGTTCCCCTGGTTCTCTGCACCTCAGGCGCAGGAGAATGCGTCCACTCGATGATGTGCAGCCCATCGCAGTCTGCCGCGCACTCAGACTTCTGAGGCGCCTCTAATGCCCCCGGTCGCTGCAACTCAGGCGCAGGCCCTCCGGGAGAATTCGTCCACCTGATGTGAAGCCCGTCGCAGTCTGCCGCGCACTCAGCGGAGCAGTGGAAGTCGAGGAAAGGCAGCGGGACGTTATTAGGGGGATTCATGGCTGTGGTAGTAGGTGGGACGTTAGGGGGATTCATGGGAGTGGTAGTACGTGGGACTTGGGAAATATATGAGAGAGATTGGGAAGGAGAGGTGGTAGCAGTGGTTATTATTAATCAAGAGGAGTGTCCAGTCAAGTGAACAGAGTGTCAAGTCAGAGTGTCCCGACACCTTTTGAGCCGTGTCAAAAAAATTTAACTGCTGGGAACAGAGGTGAAGACGCAAATGTATCTCTCTCTCAGAGAGGCTCTCCCAAAGAGGCTCTCGTGACAAGCATATGCTTGGGTCTCTGAGAGAGCATTCAATTCGAATGGCCTGCTGGCTGGCTGCGGAAGAGTGCCGCACTATTCCACGTTTTCAGCGGAAGCGTGCCCCCTCTCCCCACTGGCCCAACCTTTTCTTATGCGCCTTCCTTTAATTGAGGGGCAAGAACATTTCGGGAGCATTCTCCTGAGCGCCTCTAAAGGCGTGCCCCTCTCACACAGCGCCTCTAGGGTTCCCAGGAAAGTTCCGTTCGTGTGGAGAGACGAAGGGTTTGAGGCGCCTCTAAAGGCGTGGCCCCCCCACACGGCGCCTTTTCTTCCGCCGGTACCCCACATTTTCACGTGAGCCGAGTCCGTTTTCCTTCGGAGAAAAAGGTTACGTTCGTGTGGAGAGACGAAGGGTTTATTAGGCGCCTCAGGCGTGCCCCCGCCCGGCGGGACTCTCTCCCGGTGCGGAGTCCGTTTTCCTTCGGAAAAAGGGTCCCATTCGTGTGGAGAGACGAAGGGTTCCCGCAGACCACGTGAAGATGTGGACCAATCGTGTGGCTGATATCATTCCACCGCCTTCCAGCAGTGCCTCCTTTCTTCGAATGATAGCATGCACTGAGTCCACGCACATGATACAGGCCTGTAGTCCATGCTCCGGAGCATCACTGCCTCGACGCAATCGCCGTCACGGCACGGTGCTTAGCACTTTGTGTCGCTTGACGAAAGCTGACGACTTGTCAGGAAAAGCGATCGCTTTCGTTGAACTGTACTCACTTTCGCACAGTAGTTTCCTTTCTCGGTACGGTACCTTCCTTTGCCAATCCGTGGGAGGGCATGAGGCTGATATCTTAGAGGCGCCTCAAGAATATGATATCAGGATTCTGTTCGGCTAAATACGCGCGGAATCTAGTACACTAAGCCGCTGTAGTAGTATGCTATGCGACCGATCTATGCCGCTCCTCATTTGAAGTTGGAAACAGAAATCTGTGGATAAACCGCCATTTTTTCGAAATCTCTGCCGCGATTGACAACAACGACAGCGGGAGATGTTTTGCGGAGCGGGATTCCAGCGCAGATTATCCACACCATCCGATTTAGAGATGTCACAAAGACCTTACAATCTGGCTAGACTAACCAACGCCGCCATTCCGAATGGCGTAGGCAAAAGCATTGATAACAGCTAAAGGATCAGACTACAGTTGCACTACGGCGCTGGGCTATGACGATCAGGAGCCATTGCGTGCTTGCCCGGCCAAGGAAATAGTGAAGTAGAGAAAATAGGTACGTAGTAGTAGGAGAGAGGAACAAATGTTTACGATCAGATGAAATAATGTTCACGTGAAGTTCTTGATGACAATGGCGGGCGGGCATCGCGCGCGTGCGAACCGAGGTACTGATGAAACTCTGGTTATGGGCCTAGCCTAGGCCTACCGGTATTTTAGCCTATTTCAAAGCGAATTCCTGTGCAGGGACACCAGCCATACTACTCACTGACTGCTCCGCTACCCAGGCTGCTGGCCCTGACACGCCCAGATGGGTAAATCGTGAGGTGGGAATTTACGCAGTTGATGTTGCTCCAACCCACAAGGCTCCCTCTCTTTTTCCCTCTTGGCTGCGAGGGCCAAATGCTCCAATGTCCTGGCTGCTGGGCCTGACTAACCAACACACCCTCTGAGGCAGAGAGGCACAGAGCGTCACCCAGACGCACCACCATGTGTTCACCATGGGTTCATCTTGATCAAAGCAGCCCATAGTATTTCCTCCGCAGCTCCAGCTGCGCTCTCTCCCTCCCTCTTGGCTGCCAGTGCTGAGAGCTCTGTCTGTCACTCGAGCGGGTGGCCCCACACACCCCCCCCAATGCCAAACACACACACCATGCCATCAAGGCAGCCCATAGTATTTCCTCCGCAGCTCCAGCTGAGCCCTCTCCTTCTCCCTCTTGGCAGCCAGTGCCGAATGCTCCGCTGCTCTAGCTGCTGGCCCTGACTGGCCCACACCATCCGAGTCAGAGGAACAGACAGTCAAACGCACCACCATATATTCCTCCTCAAGGCAGCCCATATTTCCTCCTCAGCTCCAGCTGAGCCCTCTCCTTCTCCCTCTTAGCAGCCAGTGCAGACTGCTCTGCTGCCCTGACTGCTGGCCCTGACACGCCCAGAGTGGCGAGTCATGATGGACGCGACACGGTGGTTGATGCTGCTCCAACCCACAAGGCCCTATATTCGGCATCAAGGCAGCCCATAGTATTTTCTCCTCAATTCTAGTTGCGCCCTCTCTTTCTCCCTCTTGGCTGCCAGTGCTGACTGCTCCGCTGCCCTGGCTGCCGGCCCTGACACGCCCAGTGTGGTCATCGAAGCTACCCGCCGGTTGATGCTGCTCTTGCTGCGCATAGCCTTGATTGCCTCTTTCACACTGCCAGTAGGGGAGAGAAAGGTGGGAGAGGATGATTATCAAGAGTGGTCATCGAAGCTACCCGTCTGTTGATGCTGCTATTGCTGCGCATTGCTTTGATTGCCTCCTTTACACTGCGAGTCAGGGAGGGAATGGAGGTCACAGGGAAGAAGATGATTATCAAGAGTGGTCATTGAGGCTACCCGTCGGTTGATGCTGCTCCTGCTGCGCATGGCCTTGATTGCTTCCTTCACACTGCAGGTACGGGAAAACGAAGGAAGGGGAGATGTGGGAGAGGAGGAAGAGATACGAGGAAAGGTGGTGCTGCCACACGCCGGTTGATGCTGCTCTTGCTGCGCATGGCCTTGATTGCTTCCTTCACACTGCAGGTACGGGAAAACGAAGGAAGGGGAGATGTGGGAGAGGAGGAAGAGATACGAGGAAAGGTGGTGCTGCCACACGCCGGTTGATGCTGCTCTTGCTGCGCATGGCCTTGATTGCTTCCTTCACACTGTATGTGGGGAGAAGAGGAGGAGAGGAGGGAGGTATTGGAAGAGGAAGGAGTAAGAAGCAAGCGTGGTGAGGCAGGCACCTACCCATCTCTCATGTCTTCGAGTCACCTTGAGATCAGCTCACCTGTTCTTCACGTCGTTCACATCCACCAGGTATCGACCATCAATCACCACTCCCTTCTTTCTTCCTCCTGCCTCTTCACAAGAAAAGCACTTCCTTCTAAATCTAAACCACTGCTCACCTGTTCTTCACGTCCTTTACATCAACCAGGTATCGATCGTCAATCACCACTCCCTTCTTTCTTCCTCCTGCCTCTTCACAAGAAAAGCACTTCCTTCTAAATCTAAACCACTGCTCACCTGTTCTTCACGTCCTTCACATCAACCAGGTATCGACCATCAATCACCACTCCCTTCTTTCTTCCTCCTGCCTCTTCACAAGAAAAGCACTTCCTTCTAAATCTAAACCACTGCTCACCTGTTCTTCACGTCCTTTACATCAACCAGGTATCGATCGTCAATCACCACTCCCTTCTTCTTCCTCCTAGCCCTCCTCCGTTCCCCCTCCTCTCCCTCTTCCTCCTCATCCCCTTTCATCTCCTCCCACTCCTCCAATCCCTCCCCACCCTCCCCTCCCTCTCCTCCCTCTCCTCCTATCTCATCTGTAAACTTCACCCTCCTCCTCCCCTCCATCCCCTCCCCCTCCGCTTCCTCATCTCCCTCCACCACTCCCGCCCCTTCCTGCCGCTCCACCTCACCCCCTGCACCCAGACCACCCAAGCCAGTTCTAGGTTCGGCGGAACCACCAGCGGAGGCTCGGGAAGAACCTGCTTCGGCAGAAGTAGAGGGTAGGCCGAGCCTACGCTCCACAGCGAGGGCAGCAGCCGAAGCAGCAGCCATAGCAGCTTGAGCGGCAGCAGCAGCTGAGGGCATAGCAGCAAGAGCAGCAGGAGCAGCAGCAGGGACAGTGATAGGTGCAGCACCCGCACAACCACCCCCAACACCACCACCAACGCCAGCACCAGACGCTAAAGCAGCAGCAGCAGCGGCGGCGGCAGCTACTAAAGCATCACTGCCTGCACCACCAGCAGCAGCGCCAGCAGTAGCACCGGCTCTAGCTGCAATCGCCTTGGCATTCACAATAGCCCGCGCAGCAGCAGCGGCAGCAGCGAATTGAGCCATAGGCGCACCAGTACCCAGCCCAACCACATTCAAACCCATTCCACCCATACCACTCATGCCAATACCGCTACCCGTCAGAGTGGGGGGTTGAGCAGAGCCAGAGTGGGGTGGGCGGGGAGCAGCACGCAGAGCTTGCAGCAGTGCATGGTGTGCTACTAATGGGTTGGTGTGTGTTTGATGCGGTGCAAGGGGGTTGGCATGGGCATGATGCGGTGCCACAAGGGGGGTTGGAACGCCTGGGGTCTGCAACAAACCGCCACTGCCACCAGGAAAAGCCCCCCCACTATTGGGAAAAGCACCCCCACCAGGGAAAGGAGGGCCTGGGATATGGGCTGTTGTGTGTGGGGGAGAGACTAGTGAGTGGAGGGTGGACGGGGGAAAGGAAGGGTTTGCAGGGAGTGTGCCGGGGAAAGCAGGAGCACCAGCCGCCACCGCTGCCGCCGCCGCCGCTGCTGCTGCTGCACCAGCTTCTGTTCTCTCCCTTTCGCTCTCCCTCTCGTTTTGTCTGTCCTTTTCTCGCTCCTTCTCGGTCTCCCGTGCAACTACCTTCATCTCTCTCCAATCCTGCCGCCACTTCTTCCTCTTCTCTGTTAGAACCAGCAGCTCTGAACTCATGCCCTCCCCTTCCTCCTCCACCTCCTCCAACTCCTCCACCTCCTGCTTTATTGCTTTCCCTGCCTTTTCCTTCTCCTTCGCCCCCTCCCTCTCAGATTTCTTCTTCCCCTTTTCCTTTTCATTTTCCCTCTTCCCCTTTACCTTCCCTTTCCCCTTCTCCTTCATCCGCTTTCCTCTCCTGCCCTCCTCCTTTCCGCCACTCCTCCTCCTCTTCTTCTTTCCTCCTTCCTGTGAACTATCCTCACTAGAATCGCTCTCACTCGAATCAACCTCACTGGAATCACTATCACTGGAAGTTTCCTCCTCACTGCACTCACGCTCCCTTTGCCGCTTCCCATGCCCTCTATCCCCTTCCCCCACATCCCTTCCCCCCTCCTTCCTCATATCCTTCTCTTCCAATTTTACAGAAACTCGACTACGTTTTTCACCCCTCCCATCCTTCCATCCCTCTTCCTTCTTCCCACCATCATGCACCTTACTCTCATCACGCATCTTCTTATTGTCATGCTTATCCGTTCCCCTAGTATCCCTTTCTATCCTAGCCTCCTTGTCCTTCCTTTCCTCACCTTTTCCCCTCTCCACTGCTTCTTTCCGCTCCTCCTTTTGTCCTTTCCCTTCCTTCTCTCTCCCCTCATTTTCTTTCCTCTCCTTTTCTTTTCTCGCATTCCCTCTCCCTTCCTCTCCTCTCTCCTTCCCTCTCGTCTCCTGTTCACTCCTCTCTTTTACCACCCTTTCTTCCCCCTTCCTCTCCTTATCTCCCATGTCGTTCTCTCTCCTCTCCTTCTCTTCCCTTTCCCTCTCCCTCCTCTCCTTCTCGTCCCTTTCCCTCTCCCTCCTCTCCTTCTCTTTCCCTTTCCTCTCCCTCCTCTCCTTCTCCCTCTCCCCCCTTTCCCTCTCCCTCCTCTCCTTCTCTTTCTTCTCTTTCTCCCTTTCCCTCTCTCTCCTCTCCTTCTCTCTCCCGTTCCCTCTCCCTCCTCTCCGTCTCTCCCCTCTCCTTGTCCCTCCTCTCTTTCTCTCCTCCTCTCCTTCTCTCCCCTTTCACTCTCCCTCCTCTCCTTCTCTGCCCTCTCTTGCACGTGACGATGCTTCTCCTCCTCCTCCACCTTCCTCCTCTTTCTCTCCTCGTTTGTTCCATGATCAGTGCCCCTTCTTTCCCTCTTCTGCTCATGCTCCTTCCCACCCTCTCGTCCTCTCTTCTCCCCCTGCTCCTTCGCCCTTCTCTCCCCCCCCTCCTCTCCACCTTTCTCTTTTTTCAACCCAATTTTACTTCCCCCCTCCTGTTTCTCTCCCTCTCTCCTGCCTTTTTGACATTTTCATCTTCCCTCTTTTCCTCTTTCCTCCCATCCTTCCTCTCCTCCTTCCTAACTTCCCCCTTCTTCTCTTTCTTATCATCCTTCTTTTCCTCTTTCCTCCCATCCGTCTTTTCCTCCCTCCTCTCTTCTTTCCTTCCACCCTTCTTACCCTCTTCCATCTCGTCCCTCTTATCATCCTTCTTCTCATCCGTCTTTTCGCTCATTTTATATTTTTGCAAAATACCTTCCCTTTCCTCTTCCCTCTTACCTTCCCTTCCACTTTTAGTATGCTTAATAACCACATCCCTTCTCGTTTCCTCCTCCCCTTCTCCGTTCCTCCTCCCCCCTTTTCCTTTCCTCCTCCCTTCTCCGTTCCTCTGCCCTTCTCCTTTCCTCTTCCTTTCTCTTTCCCTCCTCCTTCCTCTCCTCGTCCTCCCTACTCCTTTTCTTATCCTCCTCTTTCATTCCCTTATCCTCCTCCCTCCGTATCCCCTTTTCAGCCCTTCTCCCATCCTCCTCCCTTCTCCTATGCTCTTCCCGTCTTCTATCCTCTTCCCTTCTCCCATCCTCTTCCCCTTCTCTTATCCTCCTCCTTTCTCCTATCACCCCTTCCACTTTCCTCTTTCTTTTCATCCCTCCTCTCAACCCTCCTCTCCTCACTCCTCTCCTCCACCCGATGGCCCAAACTCACACCACCACCTTTAACCTCCCCCTTCCCACTCTTCTCTATCTCAGCATTTCGCCTCTCCTGTTCCTCCCCTTTCTTTGCATCTCTCCCCTCCGCACGCTTCTCCTCCTCCTTCCTTCGCTTCTTCTCCCTCCCTTCCTCTCCCTCCTCCTCCTCTTCCCCTTTTCTCCTCCCTCCCTTGCCCTTAGCACTCCAAGCCCGTTTCCGGTCCCAATCCCTAGCATTATCATCACCATCATCACCACCACCCCCCCCACCACCACCCCCTTTACCACCAACTATCCCTCCATTTCTGGTCGATCCTACCGCCTGTCCCCCCTTCTCTCCCCTGCCACTACCACCACCACCACTGCCAGCATCCCTGTTGTTACCACTGCTTTTGCCACTCGATTTACTGCCGCTCTTTTCGTCCTTACCGCCCTTACTCTCACGTTCCCCTTCCCTACTTCCCTCACCAATTCCCCTTTCCGCCCCTGTTATTTGCACCGTCTCAGACCGCTCTCGACCTTCCTCTTTCTCACCTCCCCCTACTCCTGCTGGTCCACTCCCTCTGCTCGCACCACCGTCCCCACCATCCCCACTTGCCCCACCCATCTCCTTCCTCCCTGTCTCTTCAGCCGATTCCACAATCTCGTGACTTTTAACTCTCTCCTCTTCCTCATCCTTCTCAGCACCTCTTTCTCCTCCTCTTCCCTTCACATCGTCTCTTCCTCCTCCTTGCCTTGCAGTGTCGTCCCCTCCACCCTTACCAACCCTTGCTTCTCTTGCTTGCCCTTCTGCATTGTGGCGGCTGTGGGTGTTCCTTCCTCCTCCTTCCCTTCCTCCTTCCCTTCCTCCTTCCCTTCCTGCTTCCCTTCCTCCTTCCCTTCCTCCTTCCCTTCCTCCTTCCCTTCCTGCTTCTTTTCCTCCTTCCATTCCTGCTTCCCTTCCTCCTTCCGTTCCTGCTTCCCTTCCTGCTTCCCTTCCTTCTTCCCATCCTCCTTCCCTTCCTCCTTCCCTTCCTCCTTCCCTTCCTCCTCTTCCTCCTTCCCTTCCTCCTTCCCTTCCTGCTTCCCTTGCTTCCCTTCCTGCTTCCCTTCCTGCTTCCCTTCCTGCTTCCCTTCCTCCTTCCCTTCCTCCTCCTCCCTTCCTCCTTCCCTTCCTCCTTTCCTTCCTCCTTCCCTTCCTGCTTCCCTTCCTGCTTCACTTCCTGCTTCTCTTCCTGCTTGCCTTCCTGCTTCCCTTCCTGCTTCCCTTACTGCTACCCTTCCTGCTTCCCTTCCTGCTTCCCTTCCGCTTTCCCTTCCGCCTTCCCTTCCTCCTTCCCTTCCTCCTATTACTCTCCCTCTCCTTCCCTTCCTTCCCGTCCTCCCCTTCCAACCCCTGCGCTGCTTGCAGCGTTGCCTCCTGCTCTCTCCAATCTCTCCACGTGTACAGAACTCCCACCCCTCGTTATTGTCACATAAACATCCCTCCTCTCTGCTGCATTTCCTACATTTCGTTCACGTGCCTCCCTACCGATATCTCTACCTCCCCCAACACTACTGCTGCCCCTCGTTCTAGTCAGGTGCACCAACTCCCTCACCCTCTCTACTGACAGTCTAACGTCCCTCTCGCCTCCTACACTCCCTCTACCCCTTGCATCTCCACCATCCAACTCCCTCCCCCTCTCTGCTGGCCCTCTAACGTCTCTCTCACCTCCTACTTTCCCTCTGTCCCTCGCCTCTCCACCATCCACCTCTCTTCCCTTCTCCCCCTCCTTCCCAACACTCACTTTCTCCTTCTTCCACCCATCTCTCCCATTCTCCCTCTCCCTCCCCTCCCTCCCATCACTCCCTCTCTCCCTCTCCCTCCAGTCCTTCCCCTTATCCTTCTCGCTCCCCTCCCTCTCTTCTCCCTCTCCCTCCCAACACTCACCTTCTCCCTCTCACGCCCATCGCTCCCCTTCTCCTTCTCCCTCTCCCTCTCCCTCTCCCTCGCCTCTCCCTCCCTCTCCCTCTCCCTCTCCCTCTCCCTCTCCCTCTCTCTCGCCCTCTCCCTCTCCCTCTCCCTCTCCCTCTCTCTCGCCCTCTCCCACTCTGTCTCCCTCTCCCTCTCTCTCGCCCTCTCCCTCTCTCTCTCCTCTCTCTCCCTCTCCCTCCCCTCACACCCCAACTCTCTCTCCCTCCTCTTCTCCCTCTCCTTCCCCTCACTCCCCATCTCCCTCTCCCTCACTTCACTCCCTTTTTCTCTCTCCCTCACCTCACTTTCCTTCTCCCTCTCCTCCTGCGCACTCGCCTTCTCCCTCTCCTTCACCTCAATCCGCGATCTGCTATCAGGTCCAGCAACAGAAGAAGCAGTAGCAGTAGCAGTACCAGTAGCAGTAGCAGTAGCAATTGAACGTGCTACTGCCACTACCGATGTCTTAAGCGCTTGTTTTAAAGGCGCCTTAAAAGCAGTAGCAGTTGCAGTGACCACGGCAGGTGCTGCTGCCACTACTGATTGTATAGGCACCTCAGATGTAGGGGCGGCAGCAGCCTCAGTAGCACCAGGCTCCTTTCCTGGTCCCTCCTCTCCTTCCCCCTCCTTACCTTCCTCTCCCTCACCTCCCTCCTCCTCCTCTTCTTCCTCTTCACCCTCCTCATCCGTCCCATAACCAAGCAGCGTGTTCAGCACACTCACACCTGCTTCCGACTTATCTGCCTTTTGAGACGTCTCAAAAGTCGCTTCATAACCAAGCAACGAGTTCAACACACTCAAACCTGCTTCCAACTCATCTGCCTTTTTAGGCCCCACACCTCCCCCTGAACTCATTTGACTCACACCCACGCTCGTGTCTAGACCAACTGGATCTGGGTGAGCAGGCTTAAGAAGATGCGGTGACTTTTGACTCGACTCAAAAGGCACTTCTTCTAGACCAACTGGGTCTGGGTGAGCAGGCTTAAGGAGATGCGCAACTTCCAATTTAACCCCACTTTCCCCCGTTTCACCTGCCTCCTTTCCTCCTGGCCCCTTTTCACCTGTCCCTTTTCTGACTGCACCTCTTTCACCTCCCTCATTTTCTCCAGACCTTTTTTCTCCTGGCCCCTTCTCACCTGCCCTATTTTCTCGAGTGCCCATCTCCCCTGCCCCTTTTCCACCTGTCTCCTTCTCAACTGGCCCCTTTCCACCTGCCCGCCCTCCATCTGCCCTCTTTTCTACTACCCCCTTCCCACCTTCCCGCTCCCCACCTGCCCCTTTCCCCTCCTCCTCTCCCGTTCCTCCCTCACCCAAAGACCAGTCCCCTTTCGCCCCATCCTCCTTGTCCGCCTCTGCTGCAGCACCACCTGTCTCATTCAGAACAGCCCCTGGCGGAATGACGTTCAGACCAAACACCAGAGGAGATTTTTGAGGCGCCTCAAAAACCCCGTCTGCCTCCGATGCATCACCTGTCTCCTTCACAATAGCCCCTGGTGGAATGACGTTCAGACCAAAGACCAGAGGAGCGTCTAACCACTCCTTGCTAGCCCCGCCCTGCCACTCGCTATTGCTAGCCCTGCCCTGCCACTCCTTGTCAACTGCGCCCTGCCGCACGTTCCCCTGCTGTCCAGAAGCAATAATCCTCCCACGAGTAGATGCCCTAGGCGTGTTAAAGGCCGTGCTGCCCCTGCCACGTGAAGCACTGCTTCTCCTGAAAGCTCCACCTGCAGTAGCAGCAGTAGCAGCAGCAGCAGCAGCAGCAGCAGCAGCAGCTACTCCTGCTCTGGAACCAGCAGCTTCTGATTCTGCAGCAGCAGCTGCAGTTGCGACGGCAGCAGCAGTTGGAGCAGCAGACACGGCGGGAACCGCAGCAATTGCAGGGGCAGCAGCATCAGCAGAAGCAGCAGCAGCAACAACAGCAGGTTGTGTAGCGGCAGCAGCAGCAGCCGCCGCAGCAGCAGCAACAGCAGCAACAGCAGCAGCAGGAGCAGCAGCGGCAGCAGCAGCAGCAGCAGTGCCAGCGCCCACCACTGGTGATGGTTGCACCAACAGCACCCGGAAAACGATTTCCCTCACCAGCAGCACCAGGAAAACGCCTCCCCTCTCCAGCAGCACCAGGAAAACGCCTCCCCTCACCAGCAGTACCAGGCCCAGCATTTCCCCAATTGGGAGCATTTCCAAAAGTGGAAACGTTTCCAAATTCAGCAGTTCTGCTAAGAAAGTGCATCTGAGCAGGAGAGAGATGGTGGTAACCCGTATTGTAACCAAGGGAAGGGAAGGGACCAAGGGGGAAGGGGAGAAAGGGGGCAAAGGGGAAGGAGTGGGGCATGTGGGGAAGGATGGGGGGAAGAGAAGCTGCTGCGCCTATGGGGGGGAGAGATGCTGCTGCGCCTATGGGGGGGAGAGATGCTGCTGCGCCAATGGGGGGAAGAGATGCTACTGCACCTATAGGGGGAAGGCGGGATACTGCGCCTCTAGGGGGAAGGGAAGATGGGGGGAGGGAAGATGGAGCGTGGGAAGAGGGGAGGTGGGAAGATGGATGGTGGGAAGATGGAGGGTGGGAAGAGGGGGGTTGGGAAGATGGGGGGGAAACAGATGGGCGAAGAGAAGAAGTCATGCTGCCAGTAGGAGGTAGGTGAGAGGATGCGGCTGGTTTGGTGGTAGCAGGAGCATTATCGGCAGGGGCATCAATATCAGCAGGAGTAGCTGTGTCGGTTGCAGCGATAGAAGTATTTTCAGCAGCAGTGGTAGCACTGGCAGTGGTGGCATTGTCCGTAGCAGGAGCATAATCAGCAGGAGGAATAGTTGCGTCAGTAGCAGCAGAAGCATCTTCTGCTGAAGTTGCAGCACTAACGGTGGTAGAAGGAGCATCATGAATTGCAGTATCCAAATCAGCAGACGTGATTGCATCAGTAGCCGCTGAAGTGCTTTCAGTAGCTGTGGCAGCATTGACGGAGGTAGCAGCATCAACAGTGGTAGCAGCAATAACAGTGGCAGCATCAACAGTGGTAGCAGCAGCAGCAGCGGTGGCGGCACCAGCAGCAGCATCTGCTGGAGTAGCAGAAACGGCAGTAGCAGTGTCGGGTGCTGCAATAGCTGCATCAATGGCAGCATCAGCATCAGCATCAGCATCAGCATAAGCATCAGCATAAGCATCAGCTAGCGCAGTTGTTGCAGCATCAGCCAAAATGAAAACAGTAGTTGCTGCAGTAGCTGCATAAGCATCAGCACCAGTAGCATCATCAGCGTCAGCAGCAGCATCAGCATCCGCATCAGCATCAGTGTCAGCATCAGTATCAGCATCGGCATCAGCATAAGCATCAGCAAGCGCGGTTGTTGCAGCAGCTAAGTCAGTAGTTGTCGTAATAGCAGCAGCATTTGCATCAGCAACAGCATCAGCATAAGCATCAGCTAGCGCAGTTGTTGCAGCATCAACCGAAATAGAAGCAGTAGCAGCATTGGCATCAGCAGTATCGGCTCCAGCAGCATCGGCACCAGCAGTATCGGAACCAGCAGTATTGGCACCAGCAGCATCGGCATCAGCAGCATCGGCATCAGAAGCAACAACCCCGTTCTCAGGTGTCAAATCAGCTGTTTCAGGTGCCCAATAACCTAGCTCTCGAGCATCTTCAGGTGAAAATTCAGGTGAAGGATCAGCCTTGGCATCAGCATCAGCAGCAGCATCAGCATCAGCATCCGGTGCACCACCCCCATCCACAAACGTCTGGTCATCTGTTTCAGGTGCCCAGTAGCCTGGCTCAGGTGAATTTTCAGGTGAAGGCCCAAATAGATCGGCAATCAGAATCTCAGATGAAGTTTTGCAATCCTCAGGTGTTTCCTGGAGAGCCTCAAACGTAATGGCAGCATGTGGCTCAGGTGCTTCCTCAGGTGAAAGTTCAGGTGGCTCGCTGAGCGCCTTGCCAGGTGAGCTGTCAGAATCTTCCGACGAGCTGTCAGGACCTTCGAGTGAGCTATCCGAGTGGTCAGCTGAGCTGTCAGGGCGTTCAGCTGAGCTGTCAGGGCGTTCAGGTGAGCTGTCAGAATAAGGGAAGTAGAAACCGATCTCCTCATGTTTCTCCTCATGTTTTTTCTCAGGTGATCCAACAACCTCCTCAGGTGATCCAACAACCTCCTCAACATGGACCTCCCCCACACGAACCTCCCCTAGGTCAGCCTGTGTGCTGGTACCATCCTCCATTTCCTCAATGCCGACCCCAGCTCCTCCACTTCCCTGCTTGAAAGCCCCACCCATCGTCTCCACTCCGCCAATCCCTGCTTCTATCTCAGCAGCAGCTGTTTTTTGAGGAGCCTCGGGAATCAGCCCAATTACTCCTCCACCCTGCCAGTCCCCTCCATTGACCCCATACACTGACTTATCTCTCCTGATCTCTTTCCCAATCTCACTTGCTGAACCCAGCCCTACTGCTTCTCCCGCCGCCAGTGCCAATGCAGCAGGCTTATTGTTGGAAGCACCAGCAGCATATGCTGACTTCTGAGGCGCCTCAATGCCAGCCGCTGCAGCAGGCTTACCATTGGCAGCGCTAGCAGCAGCATATGCCTCTACAACCCTGACCAAAGAATCCTTGCCTTCTGCCTCTTCAGCAAATGGAGGCAACAACGAGCCAGCAGCACCAGCAGCACCAACAGCACCAGCAGCACCAGCAGCACCAACAGCACATGCCGACTTCTGAGGCGCCTCAGTAGCCGCCGCTGCAGCAGGCTTACTATTGGCAGCGCCAGAGGCAGCATACGCCTCAACAATCCTGGCCAAAGAGTCTTTGCCTTCTGCCTCTTCAGCAAATGGAGGCAACAACGAGCCACCAGCACCAGCAACACATGCCAGCTTCTGAGGTGCCTCAGTAGCCGCCGCTGCAGCAGGCTTACTATTGGCAGCGCTAGCAGCAGCATATGCCTCAACAATCCTGGCCAAAGAATCTTTTCCCTCTGCCTGTTCGGCAAATGGAGACGGCAACAAGCCAGCAGCACCAGCAACACCAGCAGCACCAACAGCACATGCCGACTTCTGAGGCGCCTCAGTAGCCGCAGCTGCAGCGGGTATACTATTGGCAGCGCTAGCAGCAGCATATGCCTCAACAATCCAAGCCAAAGAATCTTTGCCTTCCGCCTGTGAGAAAAACGGAGGAGGCAACAAGCCAGAAGTGCCAGCTGCTGCAGTAACTGGTGCTGTTGCTGCTGCTGCCGTTGCTGCTGCTGCTGGTGGTACTAGTGATGCCGCACTCCTCTTGCCGGAACCACCAACAGATGCAGGAAGAACAGCAGCAGAAACAGGAGTAGAAGAAGCAGCAGGAGAGGAAGAAGCAGCAGGAGCAGAAGAAGCAGCATGAGCAGAAGAAGCAGCATGAGCAGAAGAAGCAGCATGAGCAGAAGAAGCAGCATGAGCAGAAGAAGCAGCATGAGCAGAAGAAACAGCAGGAGCAGAAGAAGCAACTGCAACAGGAGCAGCAGCGGGCGGAGGAGAAGCAACAGCCGACATCAGAGGAACCGAAGGGAGAGGAGCGAGAGCAGGCAGAGGGGCGAGAGGAGGCAGCGGGGCATGGGCAGGAGCAGGCAGAGGGGCAAGAGCAGGAGTGGTTCGCCCCATGCCGACCCCACCGGCCCAGGCATGCCATGCAGCCACACATACCGCTGCTGCTGAGGATGAGGAGGAGGACGAAGAGCAGGAGGAGGAAAACGAGGAGGAAGAAGAGGAGGACGGAGCGGTGGAGGAAGAGGAGGAGGAGGAGGAACAGGAGGTAGTACTCAAAGCCATTAGCGATTTTGCTGTTGCTGCTGCAGGCAAAGGCATGGATGATGGAAGTCCTACATTCCCATGCAATGGGCGCATGGGTCTGTCCACACCCAGAAGTAACGATGACTTTTGAGGTGTCTGAAGAGACATGGGTGTGTCCACACCCGGAGGCAGTGACGACTGTTGAGGCACCTCAAAAGACATGGGTAGGTCCACACCTGGAGGTAGTTCCTCATCCCCCCATGGTGATCGGGATGGTGGTGGTCGTCGTGGTGCTAGTGGCGGTGGTGCTAGCGTTGGTGGTGCTGCTAGTGGTGCTAGTGGTGGTGATGCTAACGGTGGTGCTGCTAGTGGTGCTACCGGTGGTGATGTTAATGGTGGTTGCGATCTCAGTAGTGCCATTGTTGGTGATGGCGTGGCCTGTGCTGTTGCGGGCCTTCCGAAGGAAGCAGCAGCAAGAGTGGAAGGTGCAATGGCAGGAGCAACAAGGGCAGCAACAGCACCACCATCAGAAGCAGGAGCAGGAGCAGCAGGAGTAGCAGCAAGGGCGGTAGCAGGAGCGAAAAAAGCAGCAGCAACAGCCGAAGCAGCAGCAGCAATAGCAGTAGCTGGAGCAGCCACAGCAGGAGTGGCAGTGGCAGCGCGGGCTTTCGCTCGTTGCAAGGCAAGAGACACCACCAACGCATGAGCCGTGTCCAGCCCTGTAGCTGCTGCTACACACGCCAGAGACACTGGTTGTTGTGCTACAGATGCTGCTGCTACAGATGGTGCTGCTGCAGATGGTGCTGCTGCTGCAGATGGTGCTGCTGCTGCAGCTACAGCCACCGCTGATACCCCAGGTGCCACAGGTGTTGAAGGGCGCAGTGGCATGACAAGGGGCAAGGGAGGAGCAGTGAGGAGAGCAGCAAGAGCAGGGATGGTAAGATTGGAGCTGCTTTTGGGCGGATGAAGAGCAACCTCCTCTCCTCCTACCTCCTCTCCTCCTCCCCCTACTTCCTCTCCTCCTATCTCCACTTCCTCTGCTCCACCTGCCTCCATCCCAGCAGCTTCTCCTCTTCCGTCACCTGTTTCCATGTACACAACCGTCGCTGCCTCTCCCTGTGCCTCCGCCTCTCCCTGTCCCTGTGCCTCTCCCTGTGCCTCTCCCTGTGCTTCCGCCTCAGCCAGTGCCTCTGCCTCTGCCTCTGCCTCTCCCCTTCCTTCTGCCTCTGCCTCTTCTTCTGATTCCGTCTCTCCCTCTGCCTCCATCCCAGCTGCTTCTCCTCCTCCGTCACCTGTTTCCAAATACACAACCGTCTCTGCCTCTGCCTTTGCCTCTGCCTCTCCCTCCCCCTCTCCCTCTGCCTCCGCCTCTCCTCCCGCCTCTCCCTCTCCCTCTGCCTCTGCTTCTGTCTCTCCCTCTCTCTCCATCCCAGCTGCTCCTCCTCCTCCGTCACCTGTTTTCAAGTACACAACCGTCTCTACCTCACCCTTTATCTCTGCCTCCTCTGCTCCTCCCTCTACCTCCTGTCCTCCTATCTCCTCTCCTCCTATCTCCACCTCCTCTCCTCTTACCTCTCTCTCCTCTCCTCCTCCCTCCACCTCCTCTTCTCCTCCCTCTGCTTCCTCTCCTCCTTCCTCTACCTCCTCCTCTCTTATCTCCATGTCCTCTGCTCCCTCTGCCTCCACACCAACAGCTTCTCGTGTTCCATCACCTGTATCCAAGTACACATCCATCTCTGCCTCTCTCTCTGCCTCTCCCTCTCCCTCTGCCTCTGCCTCTCCCTCTCCCTCTGCCTCTCCCTCTCCCTCTCCCTCTCCCTCTCCCTCTCCCTCTCCCTCTCCCTCTCCCTCTCCCTCTCCCTCTCCCTCTCCTCCTCCCTCTGTCTCTCCCTCTGCCTCTATCTCTGTCTCGGCCTCCTCTGCTCCTCCCTCTACCTCCTCTCCTCCTACCTCCACCTCCTCTCCTCCTGCCTCCACCTCCTCCCCTCCTACCGCTACCTCCACTCCTCCTACTCCCACCATTTCCTCTCCTCCTTCCTCTTCCTCCTCCGCTCTTACCTCCGTTTCCTCTGCTCCCTTTGCCTCCATACCAACAGCTTCTCGTGTACCATCACCTGTTTCCAAGTACACAGCCATCTCTGCCACTGCCTCTCCCTCTCCCTCTGCCTCTCCATCTGCCTCTCCCTCTCCCTCTGCCCGTGCCTCCCCCTCTGCCTCTGTCTCTGCCTCTACATCTGCCTCTCCCTCTGCCTCTGTCTCTCCCTCTCCATCTGCCTCTCCCTCTCCCTCTCGCCCTGCCCCTGTCTCAGCCTCAAACTCTGCTTCTGCCTCTCCTTCTACCTCTGCCTCTCCCCCTATATCTGCCTCTGTCCATCCCTCTGTCTCTGCCTCTGCTTCTGCTCCTACCTCCACCCCAGCCTGTTCCTGAAGCATAGCCTCTTCGTCAATTCTTACCTCTGCCTCTACACCTGCTGCTACTTCTACGCCTGCTGCTGCATCTGCTGCTAATTCGGCTTCTTCTGCTTCTACCTCTGCTTCTGCTCCTACCTCCACCCCATCCGCTTCCTGCACCATAGCTTCTTCATCTGCTCCTACTTCTGTATCTATTTCTGCTTCCGAACAAGCTGCTACCCCTGCTGCTGCATCTGCTGCTGCTGCGGTTTCTAATGCCTCTGCTTCTTCCTCTGCCTCTCCCTCTGCTTCTCCCTCTGCCTCCACCCCAGCCTCTCCCTCAAGAATAGCTGCTTCGTCTGCTCTTACTCCTGCCCCCACATCTGCTGCTGCTGCTACCCCTGCTGCTGCATCTGCTGCTGTTGCGGTTTCTTCTACTGCCACTGCTTCTCCCTCTGCCTCCACCCCAGCCTCTCCCTCAAGCATTGCTTCTTCGTCTGCTCTTTCTTCTGTCCCGACATCTGCTGCAAACTCATATTCTTCTGCTCCTGCTTGTGCTTCTGCCTCCACCCCAGCCTCTCCTTGCAGCATGGCTTCCTCGTTTGCTGCTACGTCAACTTCTTCTGCTTCTGCTCCCCCCTCTCTTATCTCCATTCCCATTTCTGCTTCAGCCTCAGCTCCTGCTGCTACCACTGCCTCAATCCCTGCTCCTGCTTCATATTCTGCTGCTTCTGCAGCTTCCTCCGCCTCTATCGCAGCTTCTACCGCTGCTAACTCTGCTTCGAGCTCTACACCTGCTTCCAATCCGCCTGCTTCTGCTGTTAACTCTGTTTGCAAATCTACTCGTGCTTCTACTTTCCCTGCTTCTGCTGCTACCTCTACCAGCTCTGCTCCTGCTTCTAACTCCCAATCTGCTGCCCCTGCACCTACTTCGTCCCCTAAGTCCGCTCCTGCTTCGAACTCCACTGCTCGGCCTGCTATCTCTGCTTCCAACTCTTCACCTGCTTCTGTTTCTGCTGCCTCTCCACCTACTTCTGACCCCAACGTTTCCCCTGCAGCTACAACTTCAGCTTCTCCTTCTGCTTCTCCTTCTATCTCTCCCACAAGATCGGTTGCTGCCACATCTCCTGCTTCTGCTATCAACTCTGTTTCTAGCCCTGCTCCTGCTTCGGATCCTGCTGTCTCTTCACCTAATTGTGATTCCGATGCTGTCCCTACAGCTACTTCAGCTTCAGTTTCTCCTGCTTCCGCGTCTATCTCTGCTTGAAGATCGGTTGATCCCTCCAATGCTGGATCTATTGCTGTTTCTGCCACAAGGTCAACTGCCACATCAGCTGCCGTCACATCAGCTCCCAAATGAGCTGTTGCCACGTCAGCTGCCCCTTCCATCACTGCTGCCACTTCCTCAGCAGCGACATCTTCAAGAACGTTCCCGCTTTCACTGTGCCAGCTCACTTCTTCCTCCCTTCCCTGCTCTACCTCTTTCTTTTCCTCCTCTTCCTCCTGCTCTGGCTCCCTCTTTTCCTCCTCTTCATCCTCCTCCTCTTCTTCCTCCTCTCCGTGTTTCCCTCTCTTCCACTCCCTCACCTCACCACTCTCATCATCCGCTTGAGGAGTCTTGGGAGCTTCAAACGCAACCCCTAGTTCCTCCACAAAACCTACTCGCTCCATAAACCCTGAACCTTCCGAAAGCCCTTCTCTGATAGTCCCACCTGTAACACCATTGCCAGCAGCCACAGTAACTGCACCAGTAACACCAGCACCACCAACAGCAACAGCAACAGCAGTTACAGCAGCAGCTTCAGCTGCAGCAGCAGCAGAGGCTGCAGCAAAACCAGCATGACCAGTGGCGGTGGCAGCGGCAGGAGCAGCAGGACTGGTAAGAAGCAGATGCACAGCATTACCACCAGCACCAGCAACAGCAGCATCTTGTGGCGGCAGCGGCGGTGGCTCAGAGTCAATTACAGAAGCATCCATCACTGCATGACCTGAATCCCATTCCACCTCATCCGAAGCAGCTGCTTCCGTCACATCACTCGCCACATCCTCCTCTTCCTCCTCCTCTCCTCCCCCCTCCCCCGCATCCCCTTCCTCGTCTAAATCCCCACCCTCACTCTCCTCCTCTCTCTCCCGCCCTGGCTTGACACTTATCCGTCCGCCCCTCCCCTCCCACACCTCCTCATACCCGACCCAGTCAACATCTAAAACTTCTGCCTCCTCCTCCTCTTCCTCCTCCTCCATCTCCTCCCCTACTTCTGCCTCCTCTTCCCCCACCTCCTCTTGTTGCTCTGCCTGAATCTGCTCACCCTGAGCCTCCTCCTGCTGCTGCTGCTGCTGCTGCCCCTCCTGCACCTCCTGCTGCTCCTGGCTCTGCTGCTCTCCCTCTCCCTCCTGTCCCTCATCCTGCTGCTCCTCTTGCTGCTCCTGCGGCTCCTCCGCCGTCCGTTCCTCTTGCTCCTCTACCTCCTCTTCCTGTTGCTCCTGTTGACTCTCTTGCTCCTCTACCTCCTGTTTCTCTACCACCACCTCCTGCTGGTTCTCTTGCTCCTGTTTCCTCACTTCCTCCTGTTGCTCCAAATGTGCCTTATGCTGTGCCTGCCCATCTCTTTCTCCCACCATCTCCTCCACATTCTTCTCCTCCTGCACATGCTCCACCTCCTCCTCCTTCTCCTTCTCCTCCTTTTCCTTCTCCTCCTCCTGCTTCTCCCTTCCTCTCATCTGACTGCCTACCACTGTCCCCTCCCCTCCTCCTACACCCGCAGCTTCTCTTTCCACTCCCGGCATTCCACCTGCTGCTGCACTCGCACTTACGTAAGTGCCAGGGTCATTACGCTGTGCCCATGCTTTGTAAAATGAGAAGACATCCACAGGGGTGTGAGATAGGGGAGGAGGGGAGAAAGGAGGAGAGGCGGTAGGGGAGGAGGAGGGGAAAGAGGAGGGAAGCGAGGGTGGGAGCGAGGCGGGGAGAGAGGAGGGAAGAGAAGCAGGAAGAGAGGGTGGGAGAGAGGAGGGGAGTGAGGACGGAAAAGAGGAGGGAAGAGAGGAGGGTAGCGACGAGGAAGACGGGAGGGAGGGCGGAACAGAGGAAGGAAAAGATGCCGAGAGTGCAGACGGGAAGGAGGCGGGAAGGGAGGAAGGGAGGGAAGAGGGGGCAAGGGTCCCTTCAGCAACAGGCCACATCTCAATACAGTCAGTAGGAGAAGGGAAGGAAGGGGAGGGCAGGGGAGGGCAGGGAAGAGAGTGAGAAGAGAGGGGAGAGGATGAGAAGCATGCGAAAGGGGATGGGAAGGAGGAGAGAGAGGGGGACAGGCTTCCTTCTTCTGCTGCCTCTCCTGCTGCAACATCTGCTTCTGCCACATCAGCTGATCTATCCGCCACGTCAGCCTCACATACTGCCATGTCAGCTGCTCTGCTGGCAACATCTAACCCAGGGAGTGTCACCTCAGCACCCACACCAGCCCGCACGGATTGCTGGTGATACATCTGGTTGGTAACACCGTAACCAGGATCGATACCGACCGCAGCAGCTGTTACAGCTGGGAGCCGCTGCTGGTGCTGAGTGGAGACAAATGACTTGTAAGGCTGAAAATGCAGAACGTGCTCTTGTGGCGGCTCAACAGAAGCTGTGCTTTCCTGCTGGTGAGTTGGTTCAGTTGCCAAGAGCCTGTGGTCAGAGGTCGCAGGTGACGTGTGGTGGGATTTTGGAGTTGGAATTGGCAAGGCCAAAGGTAACGGGACCTCCGCTTTCAAAGAACCCCTCATGCCTGTCGCTTCTGCTACTATTGCCTCGCCTGCTGCTACTGCCCCCTCTGTTGCCTCTGTTCCCTTGGCTGCCTCTGCCCCATCTATTGTCTCTGACCCCTCTGCTGCCTTTGCCCCCTCTTCTACGAATGCCCCCTCTGCTGCTACTGCCTCCTCTGATGCCTCCTCTCCTGCACCTGCCTCCACTGCAGCCTGTGGCCCCCCTGCTGCTTCTCTTTCTTCAGACTCCCGTTTTGCTGCCTCTCTTTTTGCTGCCTCCCTTTGTGCTCTTTCTGCTGCCACTCTCTCTGCTGCTTCTCTTTCTGCTGCCTCCCTTTCTGCTGCCTCCCTTTCTGCTGCCTCCCTTTCTGCTGCCTCCCTTTCTGCTGCTTCTCTTTCTGCTGCTTCTCTTTCTGCTGCCTCCCTTTCTGCTGCCTCCCTTTCTGCTGCTTCTCTTTCTGCTGCCTCCCTTTCTGCTGCCTCCCTTTCTGCTGCTTCTCTTTCTGCTGCTTCTCTTTCTGCTGCCTCCCTTTCTGCTGCCTCCCTTTCTGCTGCCTCCCTTTCTGCTGCCTCCCTTTCTGCTGCTTCTCTTTCTGCTGCCACTCTCTCTGCTGCTTCTCTTTCTACTGCCTCCCTTTCTGCTGCCTCCCTTTCTGCTGCCTCCCTTTCTGCTGCCTCTCTCTCTGCTGCTTCTCCCTCTCCTGCGTCACCAGCGGCATTTCCATTCCATGCAGCATCGGCATCATTACAGTTCCTTGCAGCACCTGGATCATTTCCGCCAAGAGGACACGTCAGCTGTTCCTGATCCATTGGGACCTCCACCACGTCATCATCATCACTTTTGATCCCCTCCACGTCATCACCACTATTGTCAACAAATGCCACGTCATTTTCTGCTGCTACATCAGTACCCTCTTCCTCCTCCTCTACCTCTTCCTCTTCTTCCTCTTCCTCTTCCTCTTCCTCCTCTTCCTCCTCTTCCTCTTCCTCCTCCTCCTCTTTCTCTTCCACCTTATGCCCGTCCATAACCATGATCTCCTCCCCTTCTCCTTCCACTTCCTCCTCCCCCTCTCCTTCCACTTTCCCTTCCCTCTCTTCTTCCTCCTCCCCCTCTCTTCCCACCCCATCTCGTTCTTCACTTCCTGCCCCTTCCTCCTCATTTTCCCTTTGCCCAACCAACTCCAAAAACTTCTTTTCCTCCTCCTGCTGCCCTTCCCTCTCCCTCTCCTCCTCTTGCTGCCCTTCCCTCTCCCTCTCCTCCTCTTGCTGCCCTTCCCTTTCCATCTCCTCTTCTTGCTGCCCTTCCCTCTTCATCTCCTCTTGCTCCTCTTCCCACTCCCTCTCCCTCGTCTCCTCTCCTCCATGCCCTCCCTTATTCTCTTCCCCTTCGCCTTGCTCCTCCCCTCTCACTTCCTCCACCCCTTGCTTTTCCTCCTTCCCGTCCCTCTCCTCATCGTCCCCCTGACGCGCTTCTCTCTTCTCCCCGCCCTCCTCTGCTTCCTCCCCCTCCAACCCCGCGGTTTCTTTCTCGACCCCTTCCCCGTTCACCCCTGCACGCCCACCAATCCCCCCTGCCTCCGCACCCATGTCCCCAGAATCTCTATCCCCCTGTGCCCCATCCCCCATCCCTTGCGCCCCACCTACGCTCCCCTGCGCCTCTGCTGTGTCAACAAGCGCCCAAGGGGGGCTGGAACGTGGGGGGACTTGGGCGGGGGGAGCGGGGGAAGGGGGGACTTGGGGGGAGAGGGGGTCGGGGGAGGAGAGGGGGAGAGTTACGGCGCTGGGGGAGGCAACCAGGTTTGGGGGAGGGGAGGTGGTAATTGTGGGAGGGAAGGTGGTAACTGCGTGGTGGGAGGTGGCAACTGTATACGGGAAGGTGGTAACGGTGTGGGAGAAGGTGACAACTGTTTGGGGGGAGGTGAAAACTGTGTGTGGGGAGGTGGCAACTGTTTGGGGGGAGGTGACAACTGTGTGTGGGGAGGTGGCAACTGCAAGAGGCAGAGTGGCAACCCTCTGTGCCCCTTCCACACCTGCTACAGTCACATTCACAGCAGTCACATCTGTATCAGCACCCTGTGCTACAGCCACATCTGCCACAGCCACATTCACAGCAGTTGCACCTGCAGCAGCCCCCTGTGCCACAATCCCATCATGAGAAGCAGTAGCCCGCGTTTCAGTCACATTTACAGCAGTCACACCTGCTGCAGCCCCTTGTGCTGCGGCCACCTCATTGGAAGCACTCATATGTGTTTCAGTTGCAGCTGTAGCAACAGCACCATCTGCCACAGTCACACCTGTAGCAGCAGCACCACTAACCAAAACCACACCCGGACCAACCACATCTGTCCAAGGCAAATCAAGAAAATCCGCCTCCCCAAACCCGAAATCCTCCAAGTCTTGACCCGAAAACCCTCCCAAACCCCCGTCCAAATTCCCATCCAAACCCTCTCTTAAACCCCCACTCAATTCGCCCCCCAAATCCCCATCCAACTCGTCAGTTGCGGCAAGCAGACACCTCTCGTCCTCAGCACTCCATTGCTCCTCTGCCCACCTACCTGCTGTAGTCCAAGCCAGAGGATCCTCCTTTTTGGTCTCTTCCAAAGACATTTCTTCAGCCCTCCTATCAGAACCCGTCCTGACCAGAGAATTCGCGCCTCTACCATCCTGGGTGGCGGAATCGGCATCTCTGTCAGCCCGGTCGTCAGAACTGACGACTCTGACGTGCTGACCGTTAGAATTGACGACCCTGACAGCCAGACCGGCAGAATCTAGGTCTTTGAAGTCTTGGTCAGAAATGTCCGCGCCTTTAATGCCGCTGCCAACACAATTCACGTCACTAATGCCCCTGTCATCACC